ACTACTAACTACTACTGCCTACTACTAACGCCTACTACTAACTACTACAAACTACTACTAACTACGACTACGACCACGAACACGACAAAAACTGCGACTACGACGACGACCTCCACAACGACGACCTCTACGACTACGACATGACTACGACTACGCACACCACTATGATTACTGCCGCGACTACTACGACGAGGACGATGCCGATGACGACCCGACCCGGCATACCACTCCAACGACACTGACAGCTATGACCCCGAACGACAGCAATCCTGACAATGTAAAGAAATTCACTCACCCTGGCCCTTGTCGAAGCCGAAGCGCAGGACAAGATTGCTGCCAGATTGAGCCAAGCCAACACCGGAGAAGTTGGAGATGCACACCTAATGTCTCCACTCGAAGTTGGGAGGAACAGGCAAACTGAAACATTATCCAGAGGGGATGCTACTAAAGGTCTTGGGGCTGCATGATCCACCGATGCTTTCGCAGCCGAGCCGCCCTCGCTGGCACGAGAGTCGCAATGACAAGCTGCGCCATCATCCTCACATGCTCGAGATCAGTAACACTCAGGATCCTTTTGAGGCACATGCTCGAGAGTCTAAGTCATCGTGGCCAGAAGTCCCGCACGACTACGTGCGAGGGGGCGAAACCGCTGATGCTAGGTGGGCTCGTCCGCAAAAGCCAATCCTTCGACCCTCTCGACCATTCGAACAGAATGCAAGGCAGTTTCCAGCCCGCCGCACGAGCCACCAGATTTAAATGGGGATCTGTTGGTGTGTTGGTTCCTTTCGTTTCGCTCGATGGTTAGGCCGCGATATCAGCACTGGGGGAGCAGGCCTCTATGCCTCGTCGTTTCTCAAACTCTGAAAGCTGATGGCATGGATCATACTTCTGAAGGCCCCAGTTCGCTTGCCACAATCCTCAGACCCTTACTAGCTGCCACCAGCGGACCCGATGGACACCATGATCGACGCATCGTCGACGGAGGCGGGGGAGAAGAGCCGCAGCAAAGGCCTTACAAGTAGCGCTCAAGCCCATGGCGAAAGTGCACGATGCTCAAGTCTCAAGGCATTCGGAGCCTATCGAATCCAGAGCCCTCGCTTACGGGGCTTTCGACATAAGAAAAAACCAAGCTCAAGACAACGTCGAGCTCACGGTAGCCCGAAACCCTGCTTTGTCTTTCCCAGTGTCACGGGAAGCTTCTGGGCTTCGAGATCGCAAGGATGGGGCCATAAGTCCGTAGGCACGTAGCCTTGCCGAGACACTCGGCGAGGGCCATCATGACCAGCATGGTCAGCAGTCCCAAGATCAACGACGCAACGGAGCCCAGCACCAACCAAGAACCTCCGGGCCGAAAACTCAGAACATGCTCAGAAAGTCTCAGACATGCTCAGCTGAACTAGAGGGGACTTGCTGTCCTACACGCCCTGCTCCAACAGAGAGGCCGCGGCCCGCGGCCTGCAGAACTCCAGCTTTGAGCCCCTTCCAGCTTGGAGATCGCAGAAGTCTGCACGTACCAGAAGAAGGTGTAGAGGTTTCCAAGCCACTCCGCGACAATGCGTATGGCCACAAAGGTGGCAGAGAGCACTAAACCTTGCCTCGTGACCACGGCGGATACTACGGCCCGCAGAAGTGTTCCTGCACTGACCGCCGGAAGGAGCAGAATGACCGCCACGAGATTGAATCGAATCGGATGCTTGTCCAAGTACGCCTGAAGCTCACCCAAGCATTTGGGCACCATGGCCGATGCTGGGCTGGCCGCTACACTACTCTGAGCGCCTGCGGCCGACAAATATCAAAAGAATTGCTAAAAAGCTGCCCGTCTGAGGTCAGTCTGACATCCATTTTGAAGTAGTTCCAAACACGGCAACCAAGCCGCTCCTTTTCCAACGAAAAAACAGCATTGACCATGACTAGCTCACGATGCATGCATCAAGAATTAAGCTAAAAAACTACCACCTGTCACGGCAACATCTCTGCGACATCGCAGCTTATGCATCCCTAGTCCTTGCAACTATACCCTGACAGACTGGGGTACCATGAGGGGCAGATCTCGGCGGCATTGCAGTGCGGGGAGGTGGGAGGCGGCGGTGGGGGAGGACGAGGACACGGCACAAGTTGGCGCGGTCTGGTTGCCTGACGGTGTACAGCATCAGGACGCATCACGGGAGGCACACACGGGGCAAACGCCTCAACCGGAGCAGGATGGGCGGATGGAACATTGGAAGGAATCGCAAGCGATGGCAAACGATCATGCAGGATGTCCAAAACATTCGTGAGCATTGCATGCAAACAACATACCTGCGACTGCAATTCCGCGACGGCGGTCTGCTCTTGTGGGTGAGGGTCAACATGTTGGAAATTTTGGTTTGTGACCGAGTTCGGAGGTGCCGGCAACGCGGGCGCCGGCAACGCGACAGGGTCAACAGCGCTGGATGGCTCAAGGTGGCCCGTCTCGTCACCAACGGAACTGACGCAGTCCGAGTCAGCATGAGATGCAGAATCCAGCGTGATCCAGCGGGGGCGCGCATCGAGGCGGGGGAGCCAACTGTTCAATTGTGCTCACTGTCCAAGAGCTGAACAAAGGTAGCAAACAAGACGTGGCTGCCGCAGCATCACCGTGGAAGGTAAGCGTGCGGTTCGAGGCATGGAACAAGGCGCCGCACACCAGCTGTGGACGCCTTCCGAAGCCACCTTGCCAACTGTTTATGCGTAACCGCGCACCCCATGCGGTTCTGCCTTCAATTCGGATTTGAAGGATGCCAAGGTCAGAAAAGCGTCCTGCTGCCATTAGACCATGTACACGATGCACGAAATCTTCGATTGACATGTCCAGATACCGCGTCAACTGCAATAACTGCACACGCCCGTATACGCATGATGCACAGGTCGGGTTAGAGTCGGCATCAACCCGCGCAGGGAGCGGGGGCTCGCTAGTACAGCGACGTGTGCAGGCATCATGCGTCTCGATTCTTGGGGATGGGCGGAAGCAATCAGCACATACTGTGAAGCGGCAGCTATGGGCACAATGGAAATAAACAGTTCGATGTGCAATCCGAACGTTACACACACGGCAGCGACGGCGTGTTCCACACGCGGCGCTTACACGTCTATGGCAGGGGTGTTGATGCAAATATGTTGGGAAAGTCGGCGCATTCAAATCCGGGTTCACATCTGCCAACGTCCACTGTCACGGAATACGGTGACAGCTAGATCAAGTTCAGATGCAGGTGGCAAGCCTGCAAAGATCTGCACTGTTAAGGCTTGCAACAAGTTCGGGACATGTCCAGACTGGTCAACTACAGCAGGGAGGAACAAACGAACCACAATTCTAGTCCCAGCAGGGCACCGACCTACCAACCGCTGGAGTTCGGAGACTGCACGCGCCTCATCATGATTGCAGTCGCTGGAAAGGTCCAGAAGTTCAGGATATGCCTGGACAAAGTGTCCGGCATCATGCAGTTGCTGGGAAATGTGCAAACATAAACGGTCAAACCAAGGGATGGCAAAACACCAACTTGAAAAAGCTTGTGGCGCGTGTAACAAAATCGGACAATACACAAAAGAGTTGGTGGCATCATGATTGTACAAGGGCGGTGCCGCAGAAGGGAGGGTGTTGCCTCGCGGCCGCTCACAAGCAGACATCAGAGTCGGAGCATTTGCAGACACGGGTGCTGTGTCAACAATGGAGTTTGTTGCGGAGGGAACGGTGCTTGATGCAGGAGCACTGTCATCGACGGACAACGTGCACCCAGGGAGGCAAACCCAAGTACTGGAGCCAAAATGAGCCAAATGCAAGGTCAACGACTAAAGTGCGGGCGCCATCAGAGGGGCACACAGGGCCGGACACATTTGTAGTGTCAGCTCTAGCACATGCTTGAACTTCAGCATGCAATATGGTCCTGCCGCAAATGTTGCACCCCCCATTCCCCTTTGCCACCCTGATTGCACGCGAACACCTTGCCGTTGATATGGAAGGTGCGTAAGGGAGACCATTCCATTTCACGGGCACCTCCGCAATCACCAACCGTGCCCGCGATATTGCGAACAATGTATGCTTTGTTACCAGTGTATGTTCTGCCGCTGAGGCATGTGAAATGTGATGCTACAGACGCTCTGCGTCGGACAGTTGTGAGTAGGTTGATGGTGTAGTTGATATTTGTGCTGTTGCACAAACTTTCTGATGGATCTTTTTTTTTTGCGTCTGCCGAGAACGGTCCGCGTCAGCAGCTACGGCTTATGGTACGG